TGTCAGAAGAAACTGCCAACTCAAGATCATATTAGTCAATGGAAGCATGAACCGCCGGATTTAAAGTGTGTTTTTTGTAACCTTGTGATTGAAACGCACAATCACCTATTTTTTGAATGCAAGTACTCCAGCAGTATTTGGGATGCTATTAAAAGGGAGGTGGGACTAATGAATTTTCCAAACAATTGGGAGGATATCCTTCACAGAGGGTCCTCTCAAAATTGGAAATCTTGGTCTACGGTTCAAAAACTTGGTCTTTCTGCAACGGTTTATCTTATCTGGAGAGAACGGAACAGGAAGTTTTTTGCCAATTTCAATCATTCGGGGGATAAAATTATTATGGAGATCAAGATGTTGATTCTTCATCGAATGGCGTGGAAGACAAGGAAGAAGATTATGAATCTCAATGGCAAGTGATCACGTGGGTGGTGTGTTCTTTCGGTTTTGGATCTTTTGAGTTTTTTAGCCTTTTGCTTGTTGGCTTATGGTGCTGTTACGTTTTGGTGTATTTCCCTTTGTCTGTTTTGGCTCCTTATGACTTGGTTTGTGAGTCAAGGTTGCCGTAGTTTCTCTTGCCGATTGTTTTGTTTTGGTGACGTTTTTTTACTGTCTTTATAAAATTGGCTGGGGAAATCCTTCCCCTTTCAGTAGACTCCTTCCGGAGAAATATGCCTATTAAGGGTCTAACGAGATTAATTACGATCCACGTATCGTGATTTTGACCCAAATGACTCGATCAAATCTGGTTGTCCCGTTATAAACCCACTAACACCAAATGGATACATTCTACCTCAGTTAGTCACATTAACGTCAAGTCAGACTAACTATGACCCATTTAGTGTCATTTTGACCCAATTGAACTTCTTGAGGAGAAATAGAGCAGCTTTAACTGTATTTCTGGTACCGACATCTACGATCCATGAAATTGAGCAGCTTTTTCGTAATTTTTTATGGAATAAGACTGAGGGTCAGATGGATAAATGTCAAGTTGCTTGGGATACAGTTTGCTTGCCTATACAAAGTGGGGGTCTTGGTTTAAAACGACTTGCGACTTGGAATAGGTGTCTTCTTTTTAAACATATTTGGGATATTCTTCTTGGCAGAAATTCTATGTGGGTCTCTTGGATTCAGTCTAACTGTGTTCGGGGCCGCAATTTCTGGGTGATAAAGAAGAGGAATGAGTGGTCGTGGATTCTCCAGAGTCTTCTTACTCTTAGACCTCATTGYCGGAGATTCTTTATTTATAATGTGGGAAATGGTTTATCCACGCATGCTTGGGAAGATACATGGAGTGAGTTGGGTCCTCTAATTCAATTCTTGTCGTATAGATTTATAAATGGCGAGGGGTTTCATAATAACTCCATGGTTTCTGATGTAATGCAACGTTTTGGTACTAATTGGCCGGAGGAATGGATTCGACAATTCCCTCTGCTTCAGAATGTTATGATTCCGTATCCCAGTCAAGAGGAGGATAAGGTCGGATGGCTTGCTAAAGATCTATCTCGGGGTGATTTTGAGGTCAAATTGGCTTGGAAAACTATCCAAGAGGTGAAACCGGTTGTGCATTGGTACAAACTAGTTTGGAATAAAGCTTACATTCCTAAACATGCTATTTGCATGTGGATGGCGTGTCAGATGAAACTGCCAACTCAAGATCGTATAAGTCAGTGGAAGCATGAACCTCCAGATTTAAAATGTGTATTTTGCAACTTAGTGATTGAAACGCACAATCACTTATTTTTTGAATGCATTTACTCCAGCAGTATTTGGGAAGCTATTCAACGTGAGGTGGGTTTACTGAGTTGTCCTAATAATTGGGAGGATATTCTTCATAGAGGATCCACC